GGTCCCTGTGCTTTGCTTAGCTTGTTCTAAGTAGGCGCTTTAGACCACTGAGCCATCTCACCAGCCCGTTAGTATCTTTTTTTTTTTTTTTTTTTTTCTTCTGGAACCGGGGATTGAACTCAGGCCCTTGCGCTTGCCAGGGAAGCACTTATTCCACTGAGCCATCTCCCCCGCCCGGTAGTATCTTAACAGCACTCACGTTCGTTCTAGCTGTGAAAGCAAATCACAATAAACAATAAACAGCAATAAACAGGAAAGCGAGAAAGCGTCGGTCACTGCGTGTGTGTGTACACGCGCGCGCGCGCGCGCACACACACACACACACACACACCCCTTCAAAGTGGTCCCTCGGAATCTCGGGAAGGACGAAACCTAGATGTGCCGAAACCTTTTGGCCCGATTTTTCTCGGGTTTTTTTTGTTTGTTTTTGTTTTTGAGCCTGCAGCCAGGAGAAACAAGACCGGACAAAGCAGGAGAAAAGGTGACAATTTTCCTTACCTTGATGGCTTTGTCCATGTCGTTCTCCTCCGACATGCTCCGCGAGGCCCCCAGAGCCAAGAGCGCCGCAGGCTGCGTAGCTGCTCGGTCCCCTAGCAGCCGAGGGCGCAAAGGGCTCGGGGATCTGGCCCCTGGGTCTCGGGGAGACGGACAGCAGCCGCCACTAGCGACAGGAGGGGACGAGGGCCCTGGCGCCAGATCGGCTTCGGGGGGCGGCTCTAGGCTGGCGGCGGCGGCGGCGGCGGCCCCTGGGGACAAACCTTTGTGCTGGGCCCCGCGCGGTCGCCTCCCGGCCTCATCGCCGGCCGGGGAGGCAGGCTCCCGGGGCAGGGCGAGGCGAGGAAGGCCTCGGCCCGGGGCTTTGTGCGGGGGCCTCGCTGGGCCGCCAGTTAGGCCCGGGCTCGCCAGGGCCTGAGAAGTATTCTGCGTCTCCGCCTCCGCCTCCGCCACCGTCGGGAAGCCGAAGCCGAGACCGCAGCCGCCGCCGCCGCCACTACTGCTCCCGCCGCCGCTTCAGCGCCACACATCGCCGGGACACCCGCGCCGGGCAGCCCCGCCAGCCACCCGCCCGCGCTGCACCCGGCGGGAGCTCCGGGCTGCCGCTCCAGCCGCCCAGTTCCACCGCTCCGCCACTCCACACGCCCCTCGCCGCAGCCCGCTGGTGCTGCCGCGCCACCCCCGTGCCATGCAACTGAGCTGCAGGCGCCCGCCGAGGCCGCCCTGAGACCGCCCCCAGGCCACACAGGCCCCCGGGCCTTCGGCTGCGCTGGCGCGGAGCTAATGACGTCGAAGGCGGCCTGACTGGGCAGGGCCATTGGAGGTCGCCGCAGGACAAGAGTGACTGCGCCTGCGTCGGCACCTCATCCGTTATCTCGGCGTTGCGGTGACTTATACTTCGTGGAACACAGTGGAAAGGTCCGTGGAGGCCGATGGGTGGTACAGAAGAGGGAACTGCAAACCGAAAGGGTGCTGCCGTAGGGGAACGGAATTGTGTATTTTGTGATGCTCTAGAAATAGGTTTTTTGCGCTGGGGAGTATCTTCTTATCCCTCGTTTATAGATTTGGTAACAGGTTTAGAGGGCTTGTTCCCGGCGTTTTAGGACAAAATACTGGGCTTCAGGGTTCCTGACAGACCATACCCAGCCACCCACCAGCCAAGGAGATGAGCAGTACTGTTGAGCAGAAGAGGAACTTTAGTCAGCGTGGCAAGCGCCGGGGAGGACGGATAGAATGGTTCATGATCCGTCATTGAGGGGCAGAAAGAAACTTTGTAGTTTGGTAGATACGGAAAACAAAGACAAGGGCGAGACGTTTGCAAAACTGTTAGGGTAGGTAATCCTGGCTAATTATCTCATTATCTCGAACTGGTTCTGGGATGACCAGCAATCTTTATGGCTTGAGGTAACAGTCCGTTCCCACGTGTTGCTTGTTTTTTCCTCCTGGCGGGGCGGGGGGTGACCTCACCATGAGACGGTCTTCAGGACTGCTTTTCCTGGAAACTGGAGTGACTGCAGGTTTAGGACAAAAATCAGAGGTTTAATAAGGTTCCACTCCAGGGAGTCTGAATGAGAATGTTATAAAAACTGGCAGGTGAAACCAGGCATGGCCCAGTATGGTGGTGCAGGCCTGTAACCTCGGCACTTGGAGACTGGGGTAGGAAGATCACCTAGAGTTCCGAGCCCGCCTAGGCTTCATATACTGAGTTCAAAGCCAGTCTAAATTACATAGCAAGGGGCTGGAGAGATGGCTCAGTGGAATAAGCGCTTCCTTGGCTAAGCGCAAGGGCTTGAGTTCAATCCCTGGTTACGCCAAAAAATAAATAAATTACACAGCAAGACCCTGTCTCTACAAAACAAAACAAAATACTAACAAGTGAATATTCCAGTGTTGCTTATTTTAGTGTTCTCATGTAACTGGCACTGCAAAATGGAATTTTCAAAGTTAGCTTTTTTTTTTCTTGTAGAAATAAGCAATTCTTCCAAAATTCCTTGTGAGTACAAAACCAACACCCCCTCCTTTCCTCAATCCAGAACTGGAACCCAGGTCTGTGGTCTTTACACTAAGAACCTTTCAAAGAATTTTCAGGAGCTGTAGCCTATCCTACTCCCACCTGTTTGGGTTTGTTGTTGTCATTGTGTTGGTTGGTGGTTTTGTTTTGTTTTGTTTTGTTTTGTGTTTTGCAGAACCGGGGATTAAACTCAGAGCCTTGCGCCTGCCAGGAAAGCACTTATTCTACTGTGCCATCCCGCTGCCCCCAAACCATATGTGGTACTGTGGATTGAATTCAGGCTTTTGTGTTTGCTAGGCAGGCTTTGAGACCACTGAGCTATCTCCCCAGACCCGTGGTTTGTTTTTGAAGACAGGGTCTTGCTATATAGCCAGGCTGGCCTCAAACTGAATCTTTGTCTCAGTCTTCCAAGTCCTGGGATCACATATGCACCCCATCATCACCTCTTGATGGTTCTACATCACTTACTGACTGAGCATCATTGTACACTAGGCCTGCTAGACATTAAGGAAACATTTGTAGTCAAGACACAGTACCTGCTTGTGGCCCTCCTGGAAAAGGAAGCAGTATACAGAGAAAAACAGTGCGATATTAAAAAGAAAATCAGCATAACAATAATTGGATGTAGGAACTATTTCACACTAGATGATTAGGAAAGGGATTTCATTTAAGTTGACAGCCTTGAGAAAAGAATAGATAACTATTGGAAATCCAGACAGTTGGAGGAAGAAATTTGGGAGTAGACAGAACAGCAAGTGCAAAAGTCTTAAAAGTGGAATAAGTGCAGCATGTTCAAGGAGCATTACATGATGCTAGACAAGTACTTACTGCTTGATGGTTGTAAAAAGCCAGTACAGTGATGCTGGGTTGTAGCAAAAAGAAAAGGCTTTAGTGTGCAGTCATCTAGCAAAGAGGCCAGTAGCTGTGAGCTCAGATTTGCTTCTCTGATCGCTTGGTAGCAGGACACTATAGTAGAGGAAGGAGTGTGAGCAGTGTAGCGACAGAAAAGGAGAAGGAGTCATCTTAGGGTTCTTTTGCTTCGACATAGATCATCATGCCCCTTCACAGGTAGCATGTTCTGTGGGGAAAGGGTTTGAGCTTGTGATGCCAGTAGGTTATTGGCTGGATAAGATGGCTTCTTCTGTGTATTATTCATTTTCGAAAAGCCGGTTTCAAATAATACCTTAGAGGATTCTAAAAGGTTTTCCTAAAAATCAAATTTAATATTTTATTAATTAAGGAATCTGTGTCCACATGCATCTAGGCCCTAACTGATTTCACAAGAAGACCACTGTAGCTGGAGTAAAGTGAGAAAGGGTGAATGGGCAGGGACTGCATCATGCATGGCCTCAGGGATCGTACTGTGGGCTTTGGACTTTATTCTAAATCACTGGAATATTTTAAACTAGAGTTTAACCCAATTTATATTTTAAAATGTGCTATATAGAGAATGGAATACTACTAGGACTGTTGGAATAATCCAGATGATACATTACTTTTATGTTTTGAACTAAGGATTTGACAGTAAAGATGGAAAGAGAAGATAGATTTAAGGTATATTGGGCGGTTGGGCATGGTGGCCCATTTAGGAGGCTGAGGGAGGAGGACTACCACAAGTTCAGGAACAGCCTGAACTACATAACAAGACACTGTCTCAAAAACAAATAACAGAAGCAAAAAATATATATGTTTTGGGGATAGCATTGATAGGATTTCCTAAAGCATTAGATAAAGTGGAGGATAAAAAATGAATTAAGGAAAACTTCTATGTGTTTGACTTAAACAACTAGATGAATGATGCTGCTGCCTTTCAGTAAATGAAACACTTGATGGGGATGTGACCAGTCCAGAGTTCTTCACTGTTTGTTGTTTGTTTTAATGTATTTGGTTGTTGTACGGTCTCACTATGCAGCTTGGACTCATGGTCTTTCTCCTGTTTTCAGCCTCCCCAGCGCTGGGATTACAGGCGTGTGCCACTATGCCAAGACTGGCTGGCTCAGCCTGCCCTGGGGGGTGGGGCTGGCATGGCATGTGGTGCCCAGGATCCAACCACAGTCCCTGCGCTTGCCTAAGCAGGCACTTTAGTCTGCTGAGCTTTCTTGCCAGCCCAGAGTTTTTTACTGTTTAGGTGAATTTGAGGTTCTTGTGACATACCAGACATGAAGCCAAATACATAATTGAATATCGTGGAGATTAGTTGTCCACCAACCAAGTGGTGGACAATAACAATTATTGTTCTCTTTTTTTTTTTTCTGCATATACCTATACTACATTCCTCAGCCCTTACAGTAAAGTGTGACATGTGCTGTGCTCTTCCCAGTGGAGCATGAGCAGAAGGGATGTGTGTGGTCTCTAGGTTCGCCCATAAAAGCTTTCAACAGGTGCTCCCATGTGCTCTCTCTATCTGTGTCAGGTGGAAGCTGGTGGTGGCCAGATTCTGGAGAAGACTAGTCCTCAAGATTGAAGATGCCTACATGGAAAAGACCCCTACCTTGACCAGGCCTCAAGATAAAAATGCAATGGCCAGGCCTCCAGGCCTCTGCAAGGGATAAGCAATAACTTGGAATTATACTGTCATTGGCACCACCTGATTCAGGAAATCCAGACAGGCATCAGTTGCCTGGATGGGTGACCTGAGCCTCTGGACCCATCCCTTCTCAAAAATGCCTTTGTTCTTCCCATATACCCTTGCTGTGTGACCTGTTTCCCTATTGGATCAATATTAGCTAATTGGCTGTACTTGTAATCCTATAGATCAATTATAATTTGACCCACGTTGTACCTCTATTGTGACTAAATTACCCATGACAAAGGACCTTAGTGACAACTCACTTGAAACCTCACCTGTCTCTCAGGAGCTATCTTAATAAACCTTTCCTATGCCTAACCTCCACTGTCATTTGGAATTCATTCTTCTTTCATTCTTCTGTTTCAAGGGACATGAATTCAGCACATCTGACATCTAGCAGGTTGGGAGTTATATTTCTTCTATATCAACCAGAGGACAGAGGAAAGAAAACAGGGTTACCATAGAGAAAAAACAAAAATAAACCCCTGGCTTTACTAGCTCTTAGTTGATTTACTTAAAAGTCACTAATTCTGGAGGTCACACAGCTGGGCAGTACATTACTAGCTTCCTACTAACTTTGCAGTAAAATCACATCTCTGATATATGGGTTATGACAGTTGCATGGGTTACTTTCCCAAAACTTGAAGACCCATGGCTTGTTGGAGCTGGTATGTGTTTCTTCTCCCCATTTTATGTTTTTTCAGCAACTTGGGCACTAGAAGTCCCACAGCTCTATTGTAAGAGCAGGATGTTTCCACATAAGAACATTTTTTTAAACTACGCCAATAACTAGACCGTCACCAAATCAGCTAGCTACCCCAGTACATCAATAAGCAAGCCTTTTCCTTTGTAAAACAACTCTTATATGACTTTTTTTTTTAAATCTTTGTTTAGTGTAGGGTTTGGCTACACAACTCGTAGTAATCCTCCTGTTGCAGCCTTCCCAGAACTGGAATTGCAGGTATGTGCCACCGTGCTCAGTTATGGGACCAGCATGGCACACCCAGGGTTCTAGGCTGGCATGATATGTGGTGCTTGGGATCGAACCCAGGTCCTTACACTTGCCAGGTAGGCACTTAGACTGCTGTGCTATCTGCCAGCCCCCTTATGACTTCTTTTATTAGGCACTTGCTCCCTTCTGCTAGCAGAGTGGACACCTAGTAAAGAAGGCTTGCCTATCTTGTTCATAACGTGATTTGGTCCCC